AACAGCCTCGGCTCGCAGTGCCCCGGGAGCAGCCCCGGTGTGAGCAAAGCAGGGTGAACGGAGCCCTGGGCAGCTCCGGAGTTGGGACGCAGCCGGGTAAAGCTCATGGACAAGGAGCCTCGTGTCTCCCATACTGGGAGATCGGCCGAGGGCTCCAAACCTGAGGATGCGCACAGTGAATATCCCCATGTATGCTGCGGGTTCACGGGGTTATTTCCATGGTACAGCTTCTGCTCGTCCTCCTCTGGGACACGGGACACTCGCAGCCGAGGAAGGGACTGCGACTCTCGGCATCGGGCGGACCCCACCCCGAACGGGGCTCTCGGCACCTGGCACTGTCCCTCCGGTGGCACCGAGAGCCGGGAGCACGTGGATGAAGGCTGGACACACACCAGCATCGCCAGTGGGAGTCACGGGCTGAGACACGGACCTGCCCTCCAGTGACACCGCCATGGCACAGGACAGGCTGAGGGGAATGTACAGAGAGAGCCCTGACGCTGCTGGGATGTGGCAGAGCTGGGAGACAGCGCGGCCAGGATGTGGCACAGCCCAAAATATGGCACAGCTGGGACACGGCACAGCTTGGGACACGGCACAGCTGGGACACGGCACAGCTTGGGACACAGCACAGCCTGGGACATGGCAAAGCCAGAATATGGCACAGACTGGATGTGGCATGGTCAGGATGCAGCATGGATGGGATATGGCACAGCAGGGATGTGGCACAGCAGGGACACGGCACTGCCCAGCAGGAGCGAGGCCTCACTCACAGTGTGACAGGGAGCACTCCCAACACCCTGACACCACCTTCACGATTTTCCCTCCTCACACACCTCCCCCCAAACCCCTGGGAATGAGGAGTTTCTCCCCGGAATCAGGGCTGTGGTTTGGGTTTTGCAGCCCGGTGTGGGCAGGGACTGTTTTCCTTTCCATGACCTTGCAGAGAAGCCAGTTTGGGTTAAAAGCGGGTTAAACCCCAGTGCAGCTCCCAGGCCAGCTGCACAGTGTTTGCTCCAGCTTAGCCAGGCTCAGCCCGACTTTGGAACCCCCTGGGTCAGATTCCCTCCATGTGGCCCCAGTGACTCTCCTGGTGGCCCTGTCCTGGGCCAGAGACATGGCCACCCACCACCCTCAGCTGTCCAGAATGAGTTTGGAGTCCCAGGATGGCCCCAGGGCCAGGAGCCCCATCCCCAGGCTGGGGGCTGAGCTGGGGGCAGTGAATGGGGTAGGATCAGTATTTGTCCCACCCATAGCCCTGACCCTGTCCCCACACCCTTGTCCCCCGCAGCGCTGTCACCCTCCCATAGTCCCCA